AGCTGGCATATGGTAATCATGTATTTGAGAATTTGTTCCACGATAATGAAGTTTGCTTAGCTATGAAGGATAGGGTCAAGGATTATTTATATTGCATATTTGAAGAATATTTTGCCTTTGTTGGGATATCTTTTGAATCCAACAATGCTTCATCTTTTACTGTGCCTTTATCTTCAGTAAGTGCTACAAGGAATTTGGATGATCATGATCTAGACCTTCAATGGTTGGCAATAGTCAAGCAAAGATATTCAAATGATTCTCAAATTGAGTTGGATAAGTATCTTGCTGCTGATTCTGATGATATCTCTGCTGATTTCAATATACTAGCTTGGTGGAAGGCAAATTTTGTTAAGTATAGAATCCTCTCTTGCATGGCACATGATGTGTTGGCCATCCTAGTTTCAATAGTTGCCTCTAAATCTGCTTTTAGCACAGGAGGTCATGTGGTTGATCAATATCAAAGCTCATTGTCACCTAGAATGACTGAAGTATTAATTTGTTCACAACATTGGCTTCTTCCTAGGCAATCACTATTAGAACTTGTTTATAAGCTTCGTGAATTTGATAATTTTGAAGAGTCTGGTAATTTTTTTAAACATAACAAGCCTTTATTTAACTATATCATATCACTATAAAAATATGAACTTTTTGTTTTGTGTCTTTTTTTCTAGATGCTTCATGTGTCACTAATGGTGGAGATGCTGTTGTGTCCATAGAAATAGATTAAAGCAAGGATTGGGTTCATAGTTCCTTACTGTGTGTTGTGTCACTGATTATCATTCCATGTTTTGATATTTGTTTTTGTGTGATGGACTTATAATATTTGATATTGGCATGCATTTTGGTTTTATTATTGGCTATGACATTTGATGTTAGCCTACGACCTTTAAATCAGCAAACTTTGAGATTGATTATATTATCATTTGATATTTGCTTGTGTGCAATGGACTTCATTGTTTGATATTATACTGTGGACTTTCGTGGTTACTCTATAGGTTTATATTGTTTACAATTTATACTTATTTGGAATTTAGTATTCTCATGATGTTACTCTGGTTAGGACAAGTAGATAGGAATTTTTAATGTAATAGATTGGCAATTATTGATTAGGAATTAAAAAAAATAGGGCAAAAATATGAACCTAGACTGGAATTGGACCTACTAACCTAGTCTAGTTTGGTCCAGTCTGCCCAACTCGAAGAATAATGGGTTCCTCACTAGGCATGATTCGTCTTTAGGTTGGGGTGACTAGCCCGACCACGGGCTAATGCCCTGCCCGGCCCGGTCTGGTCCATATTCAGCCCTAATGGTGATCATTCGAGTTCAGATTACTTCAAGGAAATGAAAAAACAAGAGATAGGCCAATGTAAAGATTAGTAATACTGGTTGTTTAGAATTACTGATGTCATTTAAGTATATTTTTACTGTTTGGGTTAGCATTCAATGTTAAAAAAAAAAAAACTCTAAGCATAATAATAACTAATGTAATAATTGTATCGTTATTTACAATAATGCTACCACCCCATGTATTAAGTGGTATAAAAAGGCATTATCTAGTAGTGCCTATCCGAAATGTTTAAATTCACTATTTGTGATGCTATATTTGTTTTATCCATTGGAATATGGTTAATTGTTTATTTACATATTATTTTTAAGGAAACAAGTTTACTTGCCATGTAGGAAGCATTTAATAAACAACTGTTACCTCACCGACCAGAGATTGCAATATAAACGTGGCGCCCCTTAATCCCTCCGATAGATCGCAATTGAATACAAGTTTCCTCTTATAGATGGTTCTCATACAATTAAGCTCATGTGTCCCATTGACAACTACATTAACATTTTTCTACATGATTCTTCAACTCAAAATCAAAGACAATCAATGCATCACGTGGGAATATACTTATGAAAGTTAGTATTTACACGTGGTCAATTGGTGCTCTCTAGACAACGAGAAGCATGGAAAGATGGAAAATTCTTTTGCATAGTAGTAACTACATAGTGGAAAAGCAACAACTGCCAACGTTGTTTGGAGAGAGGCATTTGGAAATTCACAATAATATAATATTCTTTCGGTCCTTATAATAAAAATTATTTAACTAATTTGATTACATTAAAAAAATTAAATAATTTAATTAATTATAATAAATATGACATGTTTTCTTTTAAAACATCATAATTATCACTTGATTATGATTGAGAGGGTATCAATATGAGAAATTTAGAAAAAAAAATGACAAATATGAGAATTAAGTCCTATATTTAAAACTAAGATCAACTCAATAATTAGATCATATATTAAGAAATGGAGGAGTAGTTATATAATGTAAGTATATTTATTTGATATTAAAGTTATGACAATAATTTTACAGACCATGAGTTGGATTGTCTTCATTGGTATTTGATTCAATGCGTTGATGTGTGGTAATATTTTTTCGGGGACTAAGTGGATAACTATTACTTTAACATATATTTTGTCCTCCATATTGCTGCAGGAGGTCGCAATACATGAACAAATTGCTCTAGAAGTTCTTGAGATTATCATTTAAGGTTGTGGGAGTAGTCTATTTTTTTTGGAATTCTATATTATTATAATCCTTCAAGTTAAGGGTGAAGCATACTATTATGAATATGTAAAATACAAGATTTCCAATCCTAGCAGAAAAAGGAGAGAAACATATACTCAATTTCACGTAAACAAACAGAATTCTATACTCGATCTCATAGATACATATAGAATTCTGTGAAAAGATGTATTCGATTTTAATATAGTTAAATACATGTACAAACACAAATATGTTAATGCTAAGCTCAAATATAAGGTTACAGCTAAATGCTGTGAGTGGTATTGTCATTGGGACAAGTATCCATTTTACGAACATGTTATATTTAAAAAGGAGAATGTTAGTCAACCCCTTCTGAAGCAATTTGATTTCCAACGGTTCTTATAAGATTCTAAAACATTAGTTCAACTCCTTTGACCCCTTGACATATCAAAGAAAAATAACAACTAAACCATTCAATCAAGCTAGTCCAATAATGCAAAGAAATATATACACACACAAAACAAAACAAATGTAAGTATCTAGGTATGTATGAATAACTAAAATAAGACGATTTGGAAGAGAAATACAAGAATTTATAGTTCTATTTGAGGTTTAGTGTCCATGACCTTTTGACATATTAAAAGATTGTAACTACTAAGCCATTCAATACAAAACAAATGTAAGTGCTCATATTTGAATGAAGAGCTGCGATTTTCAGGAATGATAGTGAATGTTAGCATATTTATTTATTATAATAATAATAATAATAATAATAATAATAATTAAAAAAGGAGAGTTATGCTAAAAATATAAATACAAAAAAATCTAAAAAAATACAATTTGAATTTTAAAATTCCAAATCAGTAAAAATACACTATCATTCATTTTTTTAAATATAGCCAATTACTATTAAAGTGTCAAAAATTAAATTGATTATTTTTTCTGATGAGATTTTTCTTATAAATATTATAATTCATATTTTTAAATATAAATTATTTTTGGGCGGGCCTAACGTGAAGAACAGAGGGTGGGACATAAAAGACGTGAAACGAAATGAGAAGAACAGATCTGGTTGGATATATAAAATAATAACAAAAATAAATAAATAAATATTAATGGCAATGATGTGACGTAAAGTAGTAAAGTGCAATTCACCATAACAGGAAATACATTGAATCTCCCCTCAGCGTCCTCTCGCATCCGTGCAATGCATCTGTTCTTTTTCTCTTTCCACTGAACTTGTGCCCTTTTTATATTTTCTTTTTTTTTTTTTTAAATTAAATACTCTCATGACTTCCATCGGTTCTTTTCAATTAAGAACTTTATTTTGATCGCCTCAGGTCGAAGATGATTTTTTAATCGCTTTATTATAAACGTTTTCACCATGAAAATATAGAGTTATCCAATAATAAAATAGTGAAAACATATCTAATTTTGAGATGTTTATTAACTTTTTTGAGAGAATTAAAACAAGAAATAGTAATTTTTTAGGAAGAATTAAAAAAAACTTTTGAATTTTAAAATTTCAAATCAGTTTTCTTTATTATGTTTTTAATAATAATTGATAACATTTAAAAAAACAAATGATAACTTTTTTTTGTAGTTATTTTTTATTTAGGATTTTGAAAATCTGAAAGTATTTTTTTAAAGAATTTTTCCAATTTTTCACATCCATTTATTAAACTCAACGTTTCATCGACGAAATTTTATGTTAAATTAAAAAATTACGATGTATTGAACATCATATTGTTCGAAGTGCATCTGGCATCTACATTAATAGTAAGATGCATTCAAATACATTAAAGTATTTTGATATATCTAAAGATATATTCAATAGAATCAACATCTTAAATTATACTTTGGTGCATCAAACGCCCTAAATTATTGAGTGTAAATATGTATTAAAAATATTTAGAATACTGGATACACTTACAAGTATTTTAATATGTTGAATATACTATAAAATATTTTAGAATACCAAATACACTTACAAAATATTTTAGGATACTAAATGAAGTTTTACCCAAATTTTTTTTAAAAACAAGACTAAAGATATGATAAAAAAATTATAGCTTAAGATTATTTTTGAATGGAAGTGTGTTTTTTTTCTTCATAAATTTGTCATGAATGGTTCTGTTAATAAACATTATAAATTTTTATTACATATTTTCGTATGTATGCGTGTGTGTCTGAAATTATTGATATTCTACCTTCAATTCTTAATATAAAAAATAATTAAAAATTTAATTTACTTCAAAAAAATATAAGATCATAATCACTTTTTATCTCCATATTTATCTTCTTCTTTTTTTGAGCTGAACAAGTTGATCTATTTTTGACTATGAGATTTTTAGTCTCTCCACGTTTATCTATTTTTGACAATGAGATTTTTTAGTCAGAAAAGTTCAGCAGCTCATGGGAATAAAGAGGGAAAAAAGGTGGAAAATCATAACTAAAGGAGGAGAAATAAATGAAAACGGGGAGACGGAGTGGGACGTGCAAACACGCGCCACGCATCAATGGTGGAGGAACAGTGAGTCGCCATCACAGTACGTGATGCTTTTGCTTCTCCCTCTGCACTTCTCGCCAATCCTTCCCCCTGCAACTTCTTCCTCTTCTTCTTTGTCCTTCTCCTGATGGAAGGACGCATCCTCCTATCCAAATGGGTTTCTTCTATCATGCAAACGTTCCTCCTTAGCTGATCTGCTCCTCGATTGCTTCTGCTTGGTAATGTTAATTCGCCACCATTTCCGAATTTGGCTAAGGATCCATCTATGAGTAGCTTTGGTTTGTTTATTTTGTTTTTGATGGGTCGCGTTCTTCTTGATCGATGCATGATTCATTAGGACATTTGAAGACTTCGTTCGACCATTAGTAATAGCAGATGGTCACTAGCTAGCAAAGTGGTAGTATCATTTCCGTGGTTTTATGGCCTCGCTCCCAGCAAAACCCTCCTTTTAAAAGTGAAGGCAATAGTTCTACTTCCTCTTCTATGCCTTTCTCCCATGTTTTGTAACTGCGATCTGGAATGTTGGTTCATTCTGAGATGCTTTTTTTTTTCTTTTTAATTATTTTGGTTGAACATTTGATTTCTTAAATCGTTTATGGAATTTCTGGAATTCATTTCCTGCGTCAATTAGCTAGAACACTGTTTTATGTTTACTTTATTCTATTTTATTTTCGTTTTTGTTGGGGTGTGATTGTTTGGTTGTTCTGCACTGTTTGATTCCCCCCTTTTTCATGCGTTATTTATTTCTTTGACTGTTTGGAAGTAAATTAGGGGTTGGATGACCGGAATGTTGGGTGAGCAATAAGCGGGTTCTGTTACATTGCGGCTTGGTGATTTTATCCATATTTAGCTTAACTGGTCCCTTTTAGAATATTTATGAGTAACTAGGGACGATTTCATTATAAGTGGTTTGGGTAACTAGAGTCTTAGGGATTTTAAGTTGATTTTCATGGAACAAGTAATCACCTCGTGTGTTGCATGGGATTAAGCTCTTCAAATGTACCAGTCTTCCATATGATCTTTAGAGCCTTGATAGTCAAATTTTCAGGAATTTGACTCTTGCCACCATCATTCTACATTATCAATTTAAAATATGAAATTTCAGCACTAGGGACGTGTGCTTGTGCGCACTAAACTGGGGATCTTAGAAATTAGAGTACAATTGTTAGCTGACTTGTGCTTGATAGTTTAAGCTTTTGAGCGTTCAATCTTTAGCTGTCGTTCTTATGAACGTAATAAGACTTTTACTTGTGAAGGACAGTAATATCAAGGTTTTTGTCAGATGGTTTCTATTTTGTGAAAATATCAATTGGCAAGCATCAAAGTTTACTATGTGCAACATACTCCTCTTGTCTTACTTATAGGGTAGAGAGAGAAGGGTCTTTTTGGTCCTATTTATAAGTTACTTCATCAAATTTTTACCATGAATGTACTACATTGTCCTTCATTTACTATAGTGTAAATAATTATTTTTTTTAAGGTGTATATATTACATAGGGGTAAAGTTGGAAAATTGCTATATTTTAATGAAGAGTTAATGCAGTTTAAGGTTTTTTTTAGTCTGTGTGAAACATGTTGGAAGTGCATTATAAATAGGACTAGAGGAGTACATGTCTTTATTTGCAAATTTTGAAGTTTTGACTTGAGAAGGAGTTTGTATTATGTGAAAGCTTTGTTTGGCTTCTGAATGCATTGCTTTTCGGGATATCTATTACTGATTGTTTGGATCCTTCAAATTATGGCTAACCACCACTGGTGCAAATTGAATGCTTAGATTGGGGTCATTCAATTAAATGCTAGTTTATGAACTAATATTTTCTGCCCCCGGACTTGTTCTCCTTAACTTTTTCGAGTGTGTTCCTTTTCTTTTTTCTTTTTTGGGGGTGATGATTATTCTGCTATAACCCATCTTTTGGTATTGCCAGATCATTCATTTGTTTGTTTTATGATGGAGTCTTGTGATTGCATTGAGACACAGTGGCCCCAAGATGAACTTCTTATGAAATATCAATACATCTCAGACTTCCTGATTGCCCTTGCATACTTCTCAATTCCTGTGGAACTGATCTATTTTGTGCACAAGTCTGCATTCTTTCCATATAGATGGGTGCTTATGCAGTTTGGTGCTTTTATTGTTCTTTGTGGAGCAACACATTTCATAAACTTGTGGACATTCTCAATGCACTCTAAAGCTGTTGCCTTGGTGATGACTGTAGCAAAAGTCTCATGTGCTATTGTGTCTTGTGCAACTGCACTAATGCTTGTCCACATTATTCCCGATCTGCTGAGTGTGAAAACTCGTGAGCTGATTCTTAAGCACAAGGCTGAGGAACTCGACAGGGAGATGGGACTCATTCTTACACAAGAAGAAACTGGAAGGCATGTTAGAATGTTGACACATGAGATTAGGAGCACTCTTGACCGGCATACTATTCTGAAGACTACTCTTGTTGAGTTGGGTAGGACTTTGGGCTTAGAGGAGTGTGCGCTCTGGATGCCATCAAGAAATGGTCTGAATCTGCAGCTTTCCCATGCATTAAACTACCAAGCACAAGTTGGATCTTCTATGCCAACTAACCTACCTTTTGTAAATGATGTTTTCAATAGCCCTCGAGCAATACGAATACCACATACCAGTCCACTGGCTAGAATCATACCTCCTGTTGGAAGATATGTACCACCTGAAGCTGTTGCTGTTAGGGTTCCTCTCTTGCATCTCTCAAATTTTCAGATTAATGATTGGCCTGATGTTTCTGCCAGAAGTTATGCAATCATGGTTTTGATCCTCCCTCCTGATGGTGCTCGAAAATGGCGAGATCATGAGTTGGAACTGGTTGATGTTGTTGCAGATCAGGTTCTTTGAAATCTCCCTTCTCTTATTGGCTACAATTTATTATTCTGTTGTTATTTGTTCTTTTTTTTTTTCATGTACTATTTTGATATTTTTATAATTTTTGCTTCCTTGCTTGGGCTGAAGAATATGAGGATTACAAAATGGCTATGAAATACGAACCATTGTGCTTGCCTTGAGCTAAAACAGCACAATATTTTAATCTCATTTTGATTTCAGATAGAAACTAGACTGATCAGACTTATTAAATTTAGTAAAGACGTGTTTGTAGAATTTGAACAACTGAAAATAAACACATGGTTACTTTTGAAAAAATGTATCGAGAGGGCTAGATTTTTATACAAGTTCAATAAGTGATAGCTTCAAATACTCCCCTCCCCACCTTGGAAAAGGGCACATTGTGCAGGCCCCCCCTCTGTTTATTTATTCATTTTTTAAAACTAGTTTCTTCTGCCTGGTTTCTTTGACAACATACTGTTTATTCAATTGTGTTCTTCCCAGGATATTTAGTTATTAAACATTTGTGATGTTGTTCAACTACCTGTGCCCTACTGTTTGTAAATTGCTTTTGTAGCATCACTATTATAAAATTTTGACTCACTCTTTCAAGTCTTGTAAAACCATATATTCCTCTACAAGCTGAACTTATTTTCAGTTTTTAAATAGGTAGCAGTTGCCCTTTCACATGCTGCTATTTTGGAGGAGTCTATGAGAGCCCGTGATCAACTCATGGAACAGAATGTTGCTTTAGATTTAGCTCGGCGGGAAGCAGAGATGGCAATCCATGCTCGCAATGATTTCCTTTCTGTCATGAATCATGAAATGAGGACACCAATGCATGCAATTATAGCGCTGTCATCACTTCTCCTAGAGACAGAACTGACTCCAGAGCAAAGGGTTATGATAGAAACAGTATTGAAGAGTAGCAATGTATTGGCAACACTTATTAATGATGTTCTAGATCTTTCTAGACTGGAAGATGGTAGCCTTGAATTAGAAATGGGAAAACTCAATCTTCACGGGGTTTTGGGAGAGGTAATTACCATTAGTTTTCTGCTTCAGTTTCTTGAAAGATTGAGCTATTGCATATTGGTAATCCAATTCTCCATCATTGGTGAGTGAGGGAGTTCTGATTCTTGCCTCCTACTGGCAGTGGCTTTTTTGATAATACTCCTGAAAAATATTTTCCTTGAATGAATCTTATACATGTATTCATTTTGTGATCCCCTAAATGCAGGTTATCAATATGATAAAGCCTATAGCATCTGTAAAGAAGTTGTTTATGTCACTGATTTTGGCGCCTGATCTGCCTATGTATGTCATTGGTGATGAGAAAAGGCTTGCGCAAATCCTCTTAAATGTTGTCGGTAATGCGGTCAAATTTACTAAGGAGGGCTATGTTTCTGTGAGAGCATCTGTTGCAAAACCAGAATCTTCACAGGATTGGCGATCTCCTGAGTTTTATCCAACATCAAGTGATGGTCATATCTACATACGCATACAGGTTAAGACTGAACCATCTGATTATCTAAATCATCTTGGCTCTTGCATAATTAATTTCTGTACCATCTTGATCTATGTTATGGCCATATATTGTAGTGCTTTTTATATCATAATAATCTAATGGGCCATTTATTAGAGCATTGCTGCCCAGATGAGCAAGGCCTAAACCAAGAGACATTTAGCTTGTTGATTTTGTCAATATCCAATGAATATGATTAGTTACGTTACTTGTTTATGCAGGTCAAGGATTCTGGATGCGGCATTCTCTCACAAGACATTCCACATCTTTTTACCAAGTTTGCTCAATCTCGAAGTGGACCTGCTCCGCCTAGCAGTGGTGCAGGCCTTGGGCTTGCCATTTGCAAGAGGTAGATGCTAAACTGTCTCTCTTTATGCAAAAAGCTTGATTTTGTAAATTGCAAGACTATTTCATGATGTTCATCGCCAGACTATTTCATGATGTTCATCGCCTAGTACAATACCATACTTGCGTCTATCCTCTGCGGATACATAATTCCTTACATATCAACTTGTTTTAGTTTTTGACTTACTTTTAAATTGAATCAGATTTGTAAATCTCATGGGAGGCCACATATGGATCGACAGTGAGGGCCTTGATAAAGGAAGCACAACTACGTTCATTGTTAAACTTGGGATCTGCGGCAACAATCCAGATTCATCTGGTCAACAACCTGCGGATAGAATCCAACCATATAGTGGAAGTGGAAACCTCACTGGATATAAACCCTTTGTCAAAGACAACGATGAGCCAGGCTTTCCTAACCGACGCTATCAAAGGAGCCTGTAGCGGCCAAAAACGCTAGGTGATTTGGATTTTGATTCCATTCTGAAACCAAGTTTCATTTTGCAGGTGAGAGCTAAATTTGCAGCTTGCAAATGTAGACTAGAAATGCTGTCTCAGGCGTTTCTTATAGTCCTGAAATTAGCTTCATATAAGTTATTATGTGATTTAGAGTAAGAGGATCAATGATCCGTTCCAATCTATGGGCTATTGTATTGCTGTTTCTTGCCGCAACCGCAAAAGGTTGCGTTGTGAGATGATATTTGAGTAACTGAACGATTCAATTGAGGATATGAAATGTAATTCAAAGGATTAAATGATGAGCAGTGAGGATTTGGTTTTGGGAAGGACATTTATGTTTTTCTACATTGCCAACCGCTAGGTCAATTGCATGGTTAAGGGAAAAAAAAGTGAGGGAAAGAATGGGAAAAATCGTGTTTCTTTAGGGGGAAAAAAGTGGGCATGAGTATCATATAAGTGTTTTCTATTAAATTCTTTGCATGTACTAGTTGTATGAAATGCACAAAACAGTTTGAATAGTTTTGACCTTGGAAATTGAGGGAAAAAATATCAGTCTTTTAAATTAATCATGTTGTTTGTATAATTGACTCACTGAAAGTCCAGTCCTTAAAATTTTGATTTAGAAAAGCTTAATTTTTATAGTTTCAATTAATTCGATGCAATATAGTCTCTATAATTTTGATCATTTAAAATATTAGTTTCATCACATTTTAGAAATAATTTTAGTCCTTATAGTTTTGTTTTTCAGAAATGAGGTTTAATCCAGTTCAAATTGTAAACATTATATTATATCGAGTTAAAATTCATAAATTGAGTTTTAATTGAGTCAAAATTATAATAAGTAAATAATGAATTTTTTTCTGTTTTTTTTTTTATAACTCTGAATTGAACAAGCTTATTATTCAGCGATCAAGGAAAATCACTCACATCTAGTGGGTCAGAATTTTCTGAATCGTGGGTGGGGGGGGGGGGGGGGAAGAGTTTTCTGAATTGGTTGAAGTAACGAAAATACTCCACATTCTACTTTCTAAACAATGACATCATTTGAAATTTAATTGTTTAAACTTTTGAAGGCTTCAATCTTAGCTCGTGAGGCAAAAGAAATTTCTCGTGAAACTTGACCTGTGCAGCCAAAAGTATAGTTATTGTGTGATCAGAAATTGTTGAATAAAAGTTTTGTAATTTTAGGAATCAGGGGCAATTTAATTCCGGTGAACCAAAAAGGGAACCAAATTGGCCTGTTTGATCAGGAAACTAGTGAGCCGGGTGCCAGGTTTGGTTCTCTCTCTCTCTTTCTCTCGGCTTAAAACCTGCAACGATTTCATTTCTCAGCACAAACCATGTTGGAGGACTAGATATGCAGGCGCCATAATTACTTGGAGGTAGCGAGGTAGGTGCCCCTTATTGTGGTCCAACGCGCGCGACTTGGATTAATGGTTTGTTCGGATACCTAATAATGAGATTTAGAAAAGGCATTGGACACTACTATTTTCACTTCTAAATTATAAAAGCCAGTTGACTAATTTGAGGAGATTAAGAAAGTAAGTTGAGTTAGTTATTTGTCCTAAATAGGTGTTGTCTTTACTAAAATATTCTTACTAATCAAGTGTATTGACTAGAACTATCATTGTTAGAAGGGCTAATTTAGAAAAAAATGTATAAATATGAAAGACAAAGTAGATTAGGGTCTTATATTTAGAACCAAAATAAAAGTCAAACGAGATCTTATATTAAGAACCAGAGGTAGTAGTTGTTAATAATAATAATAAAAAAAAAAAAAAAAAAGAAGCATTCATTGCTCAACATGGAGCATAGCAAAATCAGAGAGAAACAAAACTGAAGTATAAACCAGAGACTAGCTACTACCGGTTTCTAATATAAAAATTAGCTGGGGATTAAAATTAATTTTAAATATAAAATCTCAATTTATTTTGTTTCTTCTACATATCATTTTTTGTCTAAACTATCCTTCTTAATTTCACATATTAAGAAAGTTTGCATTGAGGGGTAGTTTCAAGGCAAATTATTTAAGAGAGAATATTAGAAAAACAAACACATATTTTTGACAAATAATTAATTTAAGTAATTTTCTTAATCTATTTAAATTAATTAAATAAATATTATATATATTAAGGTTCGGAGATAGTACTAAAAAGGAAAACTATGACCAATAGAAGCAAATTAAAACAAAAAACAAAAAAAAGTGTATCAAAAAATAAACAACAAAAATAAAATGCAAGACGTATGATTCCCAGCCGCCTTCATTTCATCAACTAGGATTGGGTATCAAGATCAATAATACAATTATTTGTCTCGATTTACGTAAAATATATTTATAAATATTTTTAATCGTTGATTCCAAACGAAACTCAAGAAAGTTTTTATCAATATGCAGTTTCGATACAAATGATGATTTTTTTCATCCATCTGTAACAACTAGTAGTATGCCACTCCCACCTTATTATTATAAATCCAAATGCGAATGAATTTAATAATTGAATAATTATTTCTTTATTATAGTATCAACAACAATAATACAATTATTTTTCATATATCATCATATTCAATTTAAAAAGTGAGTAGCTAGCTAGTTGAAGTCAGGCACAGGTGAGGATAAAGGGTGAACAATCGTGAGGTCCAAGTTCAGGTTCTATTTTATTATCTCCGTTAAATCATTATCCTATTGCTTTCAAACCTGATTTAACAAGATAGAATATTTATTTAACATAGAAAAGTTTCAAAACAGGGAGTTATCATACTTTTTCATGAAGTTGATAATAAATAGGGTTATTTTAACTATATCGAACCACTAAGCCAAGTTTGATCTTTGAAAATATAAAAATTACTTTTTAAAACTTCTCCAAAACACAGGGTTTTATACTTTGACAGGGATGTAATTTTCTAAAAAAAAAATTTAAACTTTTTGAAAACTAACTTTCAATATAACTTGGTTAGTAGCTCAAGTATTTGATTTACCTCTTTTTCTCAAAATTGGTAAAATTATCTTAAGACTTGTCTCAAGTATAACATCAATTGAACCAACCCTCATTGCCTATAACTATCCCCTAAATGAGTTTAAATTCATAATAACCTACAGGATTTAAAATCTACTGCCCAAAATTCTAGCTCGAACTATTGAGCATACACAGTTATATAATAAGCTAAATGTAATATAATTATAAACTAACACTTATATGTATGACATCTCCATTAATGACGCTTACTTGTCTCCAACTGTTAGCTTCTTCCTCCTTACGAAGGGAAACACACACACACACGCACGTAAATACAACTTTCCTAAAAGCTATATTCACATATAACGTGTGTGTGTGTGTGTGTGTGTGTGTATATAAATAAAATAAGTATGTATAATATATAAGCAAGCATTCTTGCTTCTTCTATCATCCTTCTTCTTCAATCATAATGTTTTGAAAATTAAGTTTAAGATTATTTAAGTCATTCCTGGGGAAATAAAGTTTTCCATAAAATTTCTAAGCCCTTAAAATTAATAGTCCATAATTTTTCCTCTTTTATTTAGACTTTAAATAATTTTATCAATTTTCTTTTCTGCTCTTCCTTCGGGTGTTACAGTATACACAAAAAAGTTGTGCTTCATTAACGTATTATATTTGTTGGACTATGTACTCTTATAAAATATATATTTGCAATCAAACACAATACTTTTCTTTGCAAGGCTAAATCAAATATGAGTTTTCATAGCTAGTGGTTAGCTGCTGGCGAGAGGTGTAGTGATGTTTTTCAATCAACATATCAAATTTTCAATGAGACAAAAATGACATATAAACTTGGAGAACCCCAAATCATCACTTGAATAAGAGAAATCCCATTTTCATCACTATAGACCAAATTGGGATTTTCAAGTTAAATGTAATGACCAAATTGCCCTTATCAAGTGCAAAACGTGGGCACCACATTCACTTACATCAGATGAAGTCAGGAGGAAAGGAAAAAATGGAGAACATGCACAACGCTGGTTTGAAGGTAAGGAAAATGTGCTAGTTCAAAAGTGTAAGTATTTTTTTTTTTTGAAATTATTTGACTCTTTTCATCCTCCTAGCATTACTATGGCATTTTTTTTTTTTTTTTTTTTCATTTTAGTGGTTTTGGTTTCTGCATAAGTCGAAGGTTCAGAGGAGGTGAGGTGCGGCATTATGTAAGTCGAAAGTTGTTCATATTAGGGTGTTGGTTCTTCTTTTTTGTAGGTGTGAGAATGATTAGAAATTTGAACATATGAGTTGGTTAGTGTTGGAGAGGGTTTAGGTTTTGGGCAAGTTAGTTTTTTTAGCTTGAGAGGGAGATGAAGGTGTGGCAATACGTAAGTCGAGCTTCTTCATGTTGGGGTGTTGGTTCTTGTTTTTAATTTGTGAGAATGGTTAGATATTTTTACGTATGAGTTGGTCAGTGTGGGATACGGTTAGAATGGAATAGGGTTTAGAATGAGCTGTTTGTGGTGACAGCAGATTGTACTTTAGAAAAATTTGAAGAAGCTCTATGATGATTACGTAGATAGAAAGGTTGAGTATCAACAGTAATGATATTGTGAAGTGTGTTCTCAATAGGAAAAGCAGAGTTGTGAAATGCTATATTGAAGTTGTTAAAGCTGGAAGTGGCTTTGTTGGATTGATGAAATATTTTTGTTAGAGAATTGACATTATGATGAAATTTTTTTCTTGTTTGTTACAAGGTAAAATGCAAAATGACATGCAAGATTGAGTCAACATCCTCAAAAACACTTGCTTTGATTTTTCATATTGGTGGAAACTTTGTTAAGAATATTGAAGGTGAAGTGAAATATAATAGTGGGAATGTGGGAGTTAAAATGATAAAAGAGGGGATAAGACTTGAAGACTTGAGTTAATGATATTGGAATAGTTTGATGTATATATTAATAGTTGTGACATGAAATATATAGTGAGCTTTGATGATAAGATATTAGTAGATTTGATTGATGATAGTGAAGTTGATAATCTTTTTCAGGACAATGACATTAGCGCACATGTATATGTAGCATCAAAGGAGAATGCACCAAAATTAATGGATGATCAACAAATGTGAATCATGATTTTTTATAGTTATTGTAGGAGTTGTTTGTTATATTATTGTTGCTAGTTTCTTAACAAAACTTATAATTATGCATGTAACATTGACAAATTCTTAGGATTGTCACAATAAAGGTGTTTTTTTTATCAAGTAGCTGGAATAATATGGATGGCACTATTCGTGACAAAAATAGGGGTGACTGTATAAGAGAAGATGGTGGGGGATTTAATGTAAGGCTAATAAGTGGAGTAGAAATTGTACCAACACCCA